TGTTGATTATTTAGATAAACAATACAGAAATGTATTTCTACACCCTAGTGTGGTGATTATTTAGATAAACAATACAGAAATGTATTTCTACACCCTAGTGTGGTGATTATTTAGATAAACAATACAGAAATGTATTTCTACACCCTAGTGTGGTGATTATAGTGTGGTGATTATAGTGTGGTGATTATAGTGTGGTGATTATAGTGTGGTGATTATAGTGTGGTGATTATAGTGTGGTGATTATAGTGTGGTGATTATAGTGTGGTGATTATAGTGTGGTGATTATAGTGTGGTGATTATAGTGTGGTGATTATAGTGTGGTGATTATAGTGTGGTGATTATAGTGTGGTGATTATAGTGTGGTGATTATAGTGTGGTGATTATAGTGTGGTGATTATAGTGTGGTGATTATAGTGTGGTGATTATAGTGTGGTGATTATAGTGTGGTGATTATAGTGTGGTGATTATAGTGTGGTGATTATAGTGTGGTGATTATAGTGTGGTGATTATAGTGTGGTGATTATAGTGTGGTGATTATAGTGTGGTGATTATAGTGTGGTGATTATAGTGTGGTGATTATAGTGTGGTGATTATAGTGTGGTGATTATAGTGTGGTGATTATAGTGTGGTGATTATAGTGTGGTGATTATAGTGTGGTGATTATAGTGTGGTGATTATAGTGTGGTGATTATAGTGTGGTGATTATAGTGTGGTGATTATAGTGTGGTGATTATAGTGTGGTGATTATAGTGTGGTGATTATAGTGTGGTGATTATAGTGTGGTGATTATAGTGTGGTGATTATAGTGTGGTGATTATAGTGTGGTGATTATAGTGTGGTGATTATAGTGTGGTGATTATAGTGTGGTGATTATAGTGTGGTGATTATAGTGTGGTGATTATAGTGTGGTGATTATAGTGTGGTGATTATAGTGTGGTGATTATAGTGTGGTGATTATAGTGTGGTGATTATAGTGTGGTGATTATAGTGTGGTGATTATAGTGTGGTGATTATAGTGTGGTGATTATAGTGTGGTGATTATAGTGTGGTGATTATAGTGTGGTGATTATAGTGTGGTGATTATAGTGTGGTGATTATAGTGTGGTGATTATAGTGTGGTGATTATAGTGTGGTGATTATAGTGTGGTGATTATAGTGTGGTGATTATAGTGTGGTGATTATAGTGTGGTGATTATAGTGTGGTGATTATAGTGTGGTGATTATAGTGTGGTGATTATAGTGTGGTGATTATAGTGTGGTGATTATAGTGTGGTGATTATAGTGTGGTGATTATAGTGTGGTGATTATAGTGTGGTGATTATAGTGTGGTGATTATAGTGTGGTGATTATAGTGTGGTGATTATAGTGTGGTGATNCCCACAAGACAACTACGTTCTTCCATTGACAGTAGAACCCTCTCAATCCCAAGAACTAAAACTAAGACCATCGGTGAACGCTCCTTCTGCTTCCATGGGCCCACGTTCTGGAACCAGCTCCCCTTCCATATCCGTCATAGTGAAACCTCGTCCAGTTTCAAAAAGTCCCTTAAAACTCATCTGTTTAGGTCCGCCTATGACCTGTGATGCACCCTCCTTGCCCTACCTCATTTTCTGTTTCGGTTTAATCCTGAAGTGTCAAAGTGTCCTCTTTTTATAGCCATTTTCATTGTTTCTATAGAATAGTAGTTACTATCCTAGTGTCTCATTTGTATTTACTTAGTTTACATGTTTCAATAATTGTAAAGCGCTTAGAGCTTTATGGTAAGCGCTTTATAAAAATGCCTCAATAAATAAATCAATAAATAACTTACGGGATTAATTTGGCATGACGTTTTTGTTAAGTTATGAAATTCATTTTTTTTTTTTAAAAACAGGACATGTTTGGGAAAATTATTGTTAAATATATTGTGACAACCTACCCCACATTTATGTGACAAGCTAGCCACATTTATGGGATAACCTAGCAAAATTTATGTGACAACCTACCCCACATAATGTGACAACCTAGCCCACATGTATGTGACAACTTGTGACAACCTAGCTACATTTATGTGACAACCTATCCCACATTATGCGACAACCTACCCACATTATGTGACAACCTACCCCACATGTATGTGACAACCTACCCCACATGTATGTGACAACCTACCCCACATGTATGTGACAACCTACCCCACATGTATGTGACAACCTACCCCACATGTATGTGACAACCTACCCCACATTATGTGACAAAATACCCAGCACTATGTGACAACCTACCCCACGTTTATGGGACAATCTACCCAACATTATGTGATAAATGTTATGACGGCGCACCCCTCTCGTCAGTTAGGATAACTTGTATAACAAAGTTTTCGTTTAGTCGTCCGTTGTTTCATTCAATCGTCGAAGAAGGTGTCAAGCTCTGCAAAAGAATGTCAAAATTTACCACGAGCCCCTAATCAAACGTTGCCTTTTCCCAATGACGTAATCTTTGCCAACAAGGATATTCCACTCTCCAACAAAATAGCTAAACAAGGAAGACGAAAAGGTTGAGCCCCGAATATCAAAATATAATTCTTATCATGGTTTTGACCTTTAACATAGCCGCTCAGCGAAGACAGTCAAGGGACATAACTTATCAATACTTTGTTTTTTCTAAGAAAAACAACTGTATTTGTTTCAGACATCTCTCATAGAGAATATTATTAAGGAATGTAAGACAAATGATTTTTTTAACGAAAATTCGTTGAAGATTATGTTCACACTAGTTGGCGCAATTTTATATATAAATATATATATTTTTAATGAGTATGTACAATGTGATTTAAAATTTAAAAAAAAACATTTCCATTTATTTGGATGAATAAAATAATCTTATTTTATCAGTTTACGGTGGGAGCCATACAAATTACCGAATTTCCCCGCGCACATGTTATGTGTTATTTACCTGTTACGACAGATATGCATGTTACCAGGGAATTACTTTACCTGGCCCATTGTAATAGTAGGAGGACGAGACCCACATGCTGGGGTGAGCAGTGGCTTGGCAGCTAGCGTAACCACACGTCTGCTCATGTGTGTGTGTGTGTGTGTGTGCGCGTCATTTTGGACCACACTCGAGGCTGGGATGAGGGGTGGGGGTCATACAGCCTTCAAGTTGACGCATGCGCTGAATAACCCACCCCTTTCAAATATGAAGTTTACTACCATTACGTATCTAACCCCCCCCCCCCCCCAAACCTATTACAAAAAAAAAAAAAAAAAACTTGATTTGTAGGTAAATGAATTGTCTATAACTTATAAGATAGACGTTAAAAAATGTTTTAATTTAATTTTTGGCAGAAACTATTAATTGTTAAAATATTAAATACAACAGAAAAAAAAAATTTGTAAATATATAAGTGTGCCAACTTACCTCTCTAGTCGTAACTGCCAAACCATTAAAAAATAAAGACTGAGACAATCTTCTTCAGTTGATTCTTTGTTTTACAAACAGTATATACGGGGGGAGGGGGGAAAGCAGAAAAATGCACACGAGAACACAGAAACGGAAGAATATTTACTTGAACTGGCTACAAGGGGGACCTGCAAACGTTGCTGCCTATAGCGATAAACTTCTTTTCCGAGCGAAGATTTTGTTTGTTTGTCCACTTTAGTGAATACATGAACAAGGTGGGGAAATAAATTTAACCTCCAAGAAATGTTTCTTTTAAATTGCTCTTTCATTAAACAAAATTTACCTTTTTTTTTTATTCTATAAAAAAAAACTCTACCTTTCTATATCTCCCAAATATTAAGGGACATTCTTTTTTAATGAATCCTTTTGTTCCATGTTGACACGCGCACACACACACACACACACACATACATATATATATATATTATAAATTTATTTTGTCGCTTCTATTTTACACTTTTATTTTTTCTTAAAGTAATTGTATACCACGTGAAAATAAATGGTCTTTGATTGTCTTCCTTTACAATCCAGTTTGAGAGGTTTGGGGGGGGGGTGGTGGTGGTGACGTCAAGATAACAAACATAAGTTGGAGTTACCGATTAGTATTTATTTTTTTCAAATGTTCGCCGTCCCATCCTTGAAAGCTATATATTATAAATTTAATTTGTCGCTTCTATTTTACACTTTTATTTTTTCTTAAAGTAATTGTATACCACGTGAAAATAAATGGTCTTTGATTGTCTTCCTTTACAATCCAGTTTGAGAGGTTTGGGGGGGGGGGTGGTGGTGGTGGTGACGTCAAGATAACAAACATAAGTTGGAGTTACCGATTAGTATTTATTTTTTTCAAATGTTCGCCGTCCCATCCTTGAAAGCAATATTTCGAAAAGGATTTTTTCTGTTTTAATTAAAATACTTTTTTTTCCTCACAGCTCAGTCTGCATTTAAAGCCAACCCCTGTGACCCATCCATTTCAAGCCATCTATTCCCCTCCCCCCCCCAGCTCTTCCAACCCAACTATTTCAACCCTATTTCCACCCATCGACTTTGACCCACCCATTTTCAAGCCCAACCGCTTCAGCTTATTGTTTCCCAAGAAAAATGACGCAACTAACTAATCTTATCTAACCAATATCTTATCTAACCAATATCTTATCTAACCAATATCTTATCTAACTGTTATCTAACTAATCTTAATTAACTAATCTTATCTAACCCAGATCTTATCTAACTAATATCTTATTTAACCAATATCTTATCTAACCAATATCTTATTAAACATTATCTTATCTAACTAATTTTACCTAACCAATACCTTATCTAACTAATCTTAACGAGCCAATATCTTATCTAACTAATCTTATCAATTAAAGTGATGTTGAATTCATCCAACCTCCTCTTTAGCTAAACAGAATTTTGTTAACTTTAAAAAAAAAAAAAATTGATTCAGTACTGACATGTTCGACATTTTATTGCCAAATTTCAATGCAGTTATGCTACAACATAATATATATATGTATATATTATATATATATAAACTTGTTTTTTTTTTGGTTAACTTTAACCGTGAACCAGTCTGTGTAATTTTTGGATGGTTAGGGTTAAGTTCAAAGCATTTGTTTTTGTGTTGTTGGGTTGTTGTTGTTGTTGGGTTGTTGTTTTTTTTGTTTTTTACAGTGACAGACAACAGTAACATCAACAATTTTTTAGTATTATTATTTTATTTACAGTCTGCACCCCCATCAGTTCCATTCCCCGGTAATCATCATCTTGCGAACCAACAACGAGACCGCCATCACAGTGAAAGACGTTGTTGTTGTTGTTGTTGTTAATGGGGCCGAGTTGTAGCCTCCGTCTTTAGAATCAACTGGGGGAAAAAATGAATAAAATAAATGAAAATGTGTATACTATGACTCCCTTATCAAACATTAGTAAGATTCCCCATGCACGTCCCATGCACTTATTCTAATTGTTATCATCTAATAACTGTGCACACAAATTTACATGTGACATTCGTATAATTGCCAGGGTTGCGTTATTTAACGCGATTTGTGTGTGTGTGGGGGGGGGGGGTTTGGGGAATTTGTGTTGTGAACACTTACAGAAGACTTGTGGTACGAACATAAGGGTCTTTTCTCGCAGATGTAAACACAAATACATGGCAGGCACTCCGAATCCTGGCGACGTATTTTCTGATCGCGACAGGTTAGCAAACATGAGTTGCATACCATTGAGTGAAACGCCAGGGACGGTTGAGGGATTTAACGTTTATCTTGTATGTTTAAGTCTGTGTGTGTTTGTGTGTGTGTGTGTGTGTGTGTGTGTGTGTGTGTTGTCTGATAGTAGCAAAGCTCTTTAATAAAAAAAAAATTTCTTAATTTTTAGATGAATTCATCTTTGCGCACCTTGATTTGAATAATTTTTTTCTACATCTCATTTATATTTTTGAAAAAAAATTATAATTTAAGCTTGACAAGGGAGCAGTTATAGTTATCGCGGCGAGCTCCATATGCCCCCATATGCCTTCCATATGCCCTCCATATGCCCTCGGTTCGCCTTTGCGTGCATGCCATACCCGTAAGGCTTTGTCGTTCAGTTAATTGTGAGATTTGAAACGGAAGAGGAATGGGGTTGTTTAGCTGAAGACAGAAATTATTGAGTTGCAGTTTGTTGTGTTGGAATCATCCTCGCATTCCAGATGTTGACCCAGCCACAGAAAGCCATTCGATGAGATGCGATATTGAGATGCGACATTGATTTGCGACATTGAGATGCAACCTTTGAGATGCGACATTGAGATGCAACCTTTGAGATGCGACATTGACATGCGACCTTTAAAAGGCGACCTTTGAGATGCGACATTGAGATGCGACCTTTGAGATGCGACCTTTGAGATGAGACATTGAGATGCAACATTGAGATGCGACATTGAGATGCGACATTGATTTGCGACATTGAGATGCGACATTGAGATGCGACCTGTGAGATGCGACCTTTGAGATGAGACATTGAGATGCAACATTGAGATGCGACATTGAGATGCGACATTGATTTGCGACATTGAGATGCGACATTGAGATGCGACATTGATTTGCGACATTGAGATGCAATCTTTGAGATGCGACATTGAGATGCAACCTTTGAGATGCGACATTGACATGCGACCTTTAAAAGGCGACCTTTGAGATGCGACATTGACATGTGACCTTTGAGAGGCGACCTTTGAGATGCAACATTGAGATGCAACCTTTGAGATGTGACATTGAGATGCGACCTTTGAGATGCGACCTTAAGGATGCAACATTGAGATGCGACCTTTGAGATGCAACATTGAGATGCGACCTTTGAGATGCGACATTGAGATGCCACCATTGAGATGCGACATTGAGATGCGACATTGAAATACGACATTGCGATGCGACATTGCGATGCGACATTGAGTTGCGACATTGAGTTGCGACATTGCGAGTGCGACATTGAGTTGCGACATTGAGTTGCGACATTGCGAGTGCGACATTGAGATGCGACATTGAGATGCGACATTGAGCTTTGAGATTGAGATGCGACATTGAGATGTGACATTGAGATGCGACATTGAGTTGCGACATTGACATTCGACCTTTGAGAGGCGACACTGAGATGCGACCTTTGAGATGCGACATTGAGATGCGACATTGAGATGCGACATTGAGATGCGACATTGAGATGCGACATTGAGTAGCGACATTGAGTAGCGACATTGAGTAGCGACATTGAGTAGCGACATTGAGTAGCGACATTGAGGTGTGACATTGAGATACGGCAATGAGTTTTGACACAGAAATTCGGCAATGAGATTCGACATTGGGGGATATTGCTACTTTGTATGACTTCATTTATCATTCATCTTTTAATTTAATCAAATTTGTTTTAGCGTCTGCTTCCCCCCTCCCCCCACCCTTTTCCCCGTTGGGTGATTTTCACCAGATCTCAACCAAACGCCCAGTATATAACATTGTTTTGATGGAATATAATCAAAAATGTTGTGTAGTTGTTGGAATATTGTCATATTGTCCTGTTGTCATATTATCATTTTGTCATATTGTCTCTTTTGTTACATTGTCATATTTACATTAAGTCAAACTATCGTTAAGTCAAATTGTCATTTTGTCATATTGTCTTTTTGTCATATTGTCTTTTTGTCATATTGTCTTTTTGTCATATTGTCATTTAGCGACAGTGGCTGAGTGGTCTAAACTGAGCAAGTCTCAAGTTGGTGGTCTGGAGTTCAATTCCAGCCCGAGCCCATTCAAGCAAAAACACCACCAGCACCCGGGTAGATGGGACTCGTTAACCTTGGACGGCAACTCATCTAAGAGAAGGAAACTCTGATACTATGAAGCATTGCGACAACTCCTGCGACGTCACTGGTGCCAAGCTGTATCATCCTTGGGTTGTCCAGCGGCGTGGAGAACCAGCTTTATAATCCTTGAAGAAGCCTACTCCATCGTCACATTGTGACGGACAGATGCCAGCAAAAAATGTTGCCAAATTTTCATTTAATCAATTTTTTCCTTTTTTCCAGTTGTCATTTTGTCATATTACCATATTGTCATTTAGTCATAGTGTCATGTCTAAATTTTTAAATGTTCGGAGAGAAGAAAATGAACCATGATTTATTTTTACACCCCTCCCTTTCTACCTCCATTTAGAAGCATGTACTCCCCCCCTCCCTTGTAGACGCCCATGACACTAGCACGGCGACGGTGTTGATTGGAGACTAAATTGCTGAAGACCATTTATTGAACTATGCGGGGTACTCGTGCTTTTTGAAATATAAGGTTGTTTTGTTGTTGTTTTTTTTTTGTCGATCATTTATCTTTCCCGCTAAGACCAGTAAGTCCATGTTGACTTTATATATCTAAACACAGCCCCCACCGTTAATGCACTGCTCAACAATGTAGACAAGTGAGGGACGGCCAATGCTAAAACCCTGGTGGTCGTCGTCTGTCGGCCACGGCAACTTACGGTAGCCCAGTTCTTTCTGAAGCAAGGCCAGTGTGGTCTGTTGCTGTGTGTACTCCACAGTGCCCATGTCGCACACGACTCCGGCAACACAGTAGTAGTATGTGGACGAGCTGGCCCTAGAGAAAGGTATCAACAGTAAAACCAAATTAATAATAATACTGATAATAATACTGATAATAATACTGATAATAATACTGATAATAATACTGATAATAATAATCATAATAATAATGATAATAATAATGATAATGATGACAATAATAATAATGCATTATTACATTTTTTGTTTAAAAATTAGGGCTGGTCATTGAAATGAACTGAACACATAGCAGAGCAAATGCTTATGCTTATAATGCTGTTTATTAAAGATTCGACTCCTGGCCCAACAGCATCCGAAGAATGCCGTCCCGGAGTCTAACATCTCATTCGAAACGGAGGACATCGCTGCCATGTGACACACTCCTCTTCTCGTCTTAAGTCTCAGTAATTCAGGCAGTATTTACCTGTTTCGTACATTAAACTTCAGGCCATAACGTTCGCTTCTAAAGTACACACAAGAAGTACACACATCTATTTGGAACAAGTTAGCTTGAAACGCGTTTCTCCACAAGAAATGCACAAATATGAGATATGAGCTTTGAAGCGCATGTGTCCATTAACACCAGATTAATCACACAACTGTAAACATAAATCTATATAATTCTTTTAAGAAGCTCATAAAACAATCCATTGATATTTCAAAATGTTTATTATTTTTTTTTTTAAACTATCAAAATCAATGACTCACATGTCACCGGTTGATTGAGTGAATGAGTTTTGACATCGTAACAGTCCCTCGCTGCAAGTCTCTGCAGATGACGTGGCACAACACGCTGGAGGGGGGGGGGAGGAAAGAAGCACGATCACGTGATCAATTTAAAAAAAGCATACCTTTTGAACATTGAAGAGTAACTTTTATTGGTACCCATCGGAACTATCATAACTGAAATCCTATGGCCCTGCATTCGTTATTATGAGACATGCCCAATTATTGCTAGCAAATCTTTTGCCGCGAATGTTTATGCTGAACGGCGCAACTATTTCCGTATCAAATGTCGTATATATTGAGAACCGTCGCGTGGGGCCCTGCAACACCTACGAAAAGCATTTGTGTGTGTGGGGGGAGGGGCCTCAGACTTTTGAGGGGCTTTAGTTGTGATGTGGCAAGTCAATTATTTCAAAGTATTTTTTTCTTTTCAGTACATTAAACTAATTTTTTTTTTTTTTTTTTTTTTTTTAACAAAAAATGGCGATTTTGGGTTGAGGGGGGGGGCCCTCAAAAAAACGAAAAGTGGCGATTGAGGGCTGAGGGGGGGTGCCCTCAAAAAAAGTCAGGCGAAGGCTCTGTATCTATCCATCAGAGCGGGAGACATTTCAAGTTTCTTTCACTAGGGACTTTAAACCATGATGCAGCTAAAAGTGCTCATCGACTTGAATATTACGTACTTGGATATTATTCTGTATTATGTTGTATGGCGTCTGAAACCCCCTCCACAGTATCAAAATACATCATTTCTATGTCACTAACGCCACCCATGGACGCTCTATATCCCGAACGCCACCCATGGGCGCTCTATGTCACTAACGCCACCAATGGGCGCTCTATATCCCGAACGCCACCCATGGGCGCTCTATGTCACTAACGCCACCAATGGGCGCTCTATGTCACGAACGCCACCACCCATGGGCGCTCTATGTCACGAACACCACCAATGAGCGACAATTTCACTAAATAAAAACTCCCCCGTTAACTGCGCTAAATGAGATTCCTACAAAAAATACCGCTAGCGCGTTTGCTGCGCAATATTTTATTGTTGTTTTCTCGTCCATACTCTCAGGTTAGATGATGTTTTTTTAATGAATTTGGGGTATAAAATGGGGTGGGGGGTAGTAGAATAGTAATTATAGTTCAAGGTAGTGGAGAAAAAAAAGTGGGCGGTAGCGAATATGGGGGGCGGGGGGGGGGGCACTAATTGGGATTTGTATCCAATGTTTCGTCAAGTAACTTTGGTTGATGTGGGGTTCCCAACTGACAGCCGCCAGTGTTTGTGCGGCCTTATAGCTGGTCACTATATCATTTAACATGCTACCTTGCAGGTGTATCCGAAAGAAAAAAAACCTTGGTGCTTTACAACCAAGCCCTACAACGGGCATCGATCGTTTTCAACTGTGAGCCCAAATACCCGGCGCCGGCCCGAGGTACCGGCTGCTCGGGCGGTTGCCCGGGGGCGGTTGCCCGGGGGGGGGCGTGTCGTGCTTAGGACGCCATCAACGATTTATACGATAACCCATTAGTTTATCTCCGACCCCTGTTTGCCCCGCCCCTGAATTATATTAATAATGTAATGTCGACCCCCACACCACTCTTACTTTTTCACCACAGATCTATTACGCCAACTATCAAGATCATGATATGGTGTGACCGATTTAATGGTGGATGGTGAGACTATCAAGATCATGATATGGTGTGACCCATTTAATGGTGGATGGTGAGACTATCAAGATCATGATATGGTGTGACCCATTTAATGGTGGATGGTGAGACTATCAAGATCATGATATGGTTTGACCCATTTAATGGTGGATGGTGAGACTATCAAGATCATGATATGGTGTGACCCATTTAATGGTGGATGGTGAGACGATCAAGATCATGATATGGTGTGACCCATTTAATGGTGGTGGTGAGACTATCAAGATCATGATATGGTGTGACCCATTTAATGGTGGATGGTGAGACTATCAAGATCATGATATGGTGTGACCCATTTAATGGTGGATGGTGAGACTATCAAGATCATGATATGGTGTGACCCATTTAATGGAGGATGGTGAGACTATCAAGATCATGATATGGTGTGACCCATATAATGGTGGATGGTGAGACTATCAAGATCATGATATGGTGTGACCAATTTAATTGTGGATGGTGAGACGATCATGATCATGATATGGTGTGACCCATTTAATGGTGGTGGTGAGACTATCAAGATCATGATATGGTGTGACCTATTTAATGGTGGTGGTGAGACTATCAAGATCATGATATGGTGTGACCCATTTAATGGTGGGTGGTGAGACTATCAAGATCATGATATGGTGTGACCCATTTAATGGAGGATGGTGAGACTATCAAGATCATGATATGGTGTGACCCATTTAATGGTGGATGGTGAGACTATCAAGATCATGATATGGTGTGACCCATTTAATGGTGGATGGTGAGACTATCAAGATCATGATATGGTGTGACCCATTTAATGGTGGATGGTGAGACTATCAAGATCATGATATGGTGTGACCCATTTAATGGTGGATGGTGAGACTATCAAGATCATGATATGATGTGACCCATTTAATGGTGGATGGTGAGACTATCAAGATCATGATATGGTGTGACCTATTTAATGGTAGATGGTGAGACTTTCAAGAACATGATATAATATGACCTATTTAATGGTTGATAGTGAGACTTTCAAGAACATGATAAATGTGACCTATTTAATGGTAGGTTGTAAGACTTCTTTTTCCCCCTAAACTACCCCCCCCCCTTTTTTTTCTCTACCACATTTCCTCCTCAACAGATCCATTTTAAATATCTTTATAGACTGAAACCGTTACTCCTTGCCCACTTCTCCCTACTCCTTTGACTTCTCCCATTTCGTCTTCTCTGGATAGTTTGCTTTCCCCTGTTAAATGTTGTCGATGCCTCACCTCATCTCCCTTTTCTCCTTCTCTCCACTCCTCTCTTCTATAATAACTGTTCACTTTAAAAAAAGAAAGGAAAACCTACCAATTCGCCTTTTGCTCCGTGGACCAGCGAGTATTTTATTAGCTTTGATGTGCCGTCGTTCGTATTTTCCCATCAAGTGAAGAGTTACAAACTCAACGACCCCCTCCCTCACACCCCCCCCAGGGGTGACCGCGAAACCTACCTACATCAACAAGAATAATTTGCGACTTCTACGATGGTCAAAGCGACACATGACCTACCCATCATACGACTATCACAAGACACTTGACCTACCCATCAAACGACTATCACTAAGACTCGTGACCTGCCCATCATATTAGTATCACTAAGACTCGTGACCTGCCCATCATACGACTATCACTGGCGCGATTGTGCCGTAACTCTTAAATTTAAACTTACCCAACGCCAGGATGACAGCCACCTTCAGATCCATCCGTCCGATCTCAGCAACGTTTGAATCAGTGAAAGCCTTTCGTCTTTCTGTTTGCTTTGTTAGCCTGCTCGAAGTCTTGCTTACGTATCCCTCTGTGTACCTTGATCACCTATGTTAAATATTTGACATACGATTCCTTTTACCGTTGACTCTGACCTCCGACCCGTGGCTGGTGAGACCGCTCCGGCGAAGACTACCCGTTAAGGATTCGGGTCTGTCATTTCGCCATACCTGGGTGCGTGCACACCGGTTGCCGCTGCCAATGTGGCATTGAAAGACTTTGAGACATGATTCCAGGCTGTTTGCATGAGTGGTTCTCAACCCTGGAACCAATCTGAAATACCCCTTTACCAAATTGTATTTAAAATAAATACCAAATATACAATTTTTTTTTTTAAACTTAGAACCATCTCAGCTTTTAAAAATTAATAATGATAGCCATTTCCATCATTCTCGTCTCGCAAATTAATGATGAGGCTAGAAATACAAAAATTAAAAATTCAAATCTTTTTTTTTCTAGGATAAAAGTAATAAATGGAACAAACCGACCAAAGCAATACAGTAGAGTTGGATCAAAAATTAGATCATTTTTGGTGGGGTTTTTTGTGGACTTGTGTGTCCTTTACATTTCTAGTTGGATTATGGGAATCACTGAGCCGTGAAAAGACATAGTGTAACAAGACCGTTTCAGGAGACGCTTGGAGTATACGCCATTTGAAACTTGAAAATTTCTTTTGTAATTTTTACTATGTCCAGACGGGAGCCAAAAAATAAAAAAGATGTACTCTTAAAGCCGAAAGGAATCTTTAGAATTTGAATAAATTAAATATAAGCTTATAAACATCAGGCTTATATTTAATTTATTCAAATTCTAGTTTGGACTTAGATGTAATGTAATAGTGTGTTATGAACAATGTAGCCGTTGGCTTAGGTCATTGGCCATTTACATCGATGTCTTTAAACTTGGTAATATCTTCACTGCTCCTCTAGTCAAAGTCATTGAATGAACATCTTGTGTCCCACGTCATTAGGTGACATCTTGTGTCGTACATTTTATTAGGTTACAGCTTGTGTCGTACTTGTCATTAGGTGACATCTTGTGTCATAAATGTCATTAGGTCAGATCTTGTGTTGTACATGTCATTTGGTGACCATCTATCTGTATCATTTCTTCATGGAGGAAAAGCTCCCTAATGCGTAAACATTAGAAATACATTTTAAGAACCGTCTGTAAAGACTCCTATGCTGTATGATTACCTAACGGGCTAAACATATTTGATTATCAATGAAAACCAGTCATTGGTTGCAAACCAACAAAAATGAATTGTAGGCCAGCGGTTCTGAGCCTGTGATCCCCGTACTCGATTTAAACCACGCATTTATTTCAAGATTTGTCAGTAGACCTACTATCCCGGCAAATTTAACACAATAATCAAGTCCAATCTTTATATTGATTCACCTCCTGTGTTTGATTTACCAGGCCACGAAGTCCACATCCGTACCATAGAAGACAAGGAGTCGTGGTACATATAACCAGAGCCAGAGGTGAACGTAGCAGCAAGGTGGGATATGCTACGGGCGCCGTGTTTTAAGAGGTCCCACTCATATAAATATCTATCTAATGTTTTGGTCTAATGCGAGCGTTAGACGTATGCCGTCTTTAGGTTAAACCAATGATCTTGTGACGTATGCCATCTTTAGGTTAAACCAATGATCTTGTGACGTATGCCATCTTTAGGTTAAACCAATGATCTTGTGATGTATGCCATCTTTAGGTTAAACCAATGATCTTGTGATGTATGCCATCTTTAGGTTAAACCAATGATCTTGTGATGTATGCCATCTTTAGGTTAAACCAATGATACTTGTGGCGTATGCCATCTTTAGGTTAAACCAATGATACTTGTGGCGTATGCCATCTTTAGGTTAAACCAATGATCATGTGATGTATGCCATCTTTAGGTTAAACCAATGATCTTGTGATGTACGCCATCTTTAGGTTAAACCAATGATCATGTGATGTATGCCATCTTTAGGTTAAACCAATGATCTTGTGATGTATGCCATCTTTAGGTTAAACCAATGATCTTGTGATGTATGCCATCTTTAGGTTAAACCAATGATCTTGTGATGTATGCCATCTTTAGGTTAAACCAATGATACTTGTGGCGTATGCCATCTTTAGGTTAAACCAATGATACTTGTGGCGTATGCCATCTTTAGGTTAAACCAATGATCATGTGATGTATGCCATCTTTAGGTTAAACCAATGATCTTGTGATGTACGCCATCTTTAGGTTAAACCAATGATCATGTGATGTATGCCATCTTTAGGTTAAACCAATGATCTTGTGATGTATGCCATCTTTAGGTTAAACCAATGATCTTGTGATGTATGCCATCTTTAGGTTAAACCAATGATCTTGTGATGTATGCCATCTTTAGGTTAAACCAATGATACTTGTGGCGTATACCATCTTTAGGTTAAACCAATGATCTTGTGGCGTATGCCATCTTTAGGTTAAACCCATGATCTTGTGTTGTATGCCGTCTTAAGGTTAAACCAATGATCTTGTGGCGTATGCCATCTTTAGGTTAAACCAATGATCTTGTGATGTAAGCCATCTTTAGGTTAAACGAATGATCTTGTGGTGTATGAACATCTTTAGCGCCTTTTTATTTGGTGTGAAAAAATTTTGAGAGAAAGATTTATTTAAATGTATTTTTTTTTAAAATAATACTTAGACAACAATGCTGCCTGTGTTGTTACGTTTGACAGTGATAATTGCTCTGCAAATTAAAAATGTAAGTGTTCAAATATGTGTTTGTTGTTTTATTATTTTTTTTTTAAAATATATTATAGGCCCTTTACTTAACGTATGCTACAGGCCTAGCCCTAGCCTAAACAGACCCTGCATGTATAAAGCCGAGACTCCTTGACCTAGGTAAACACAAAGACGTCATTCAGGTCTACGGACGACACGGTTGGGAGAGTTTGGAGCACGGAGACTGTTTACCTTATGCAGTACCTCCATTTGGTGTAGAGATTATTAATTATTTTTTTTTTACATTAAGATTCTTAAAGGAAAATTGAAATGCACATGGAAAATGTGCCAGGGTGGGTAGGGGAGAGGTTGGAGCACCTTCAACGCTTTCTTTTACTGTTTACAAACAGGGGGGGGGGGCGGGGAAGCCCCCTATATCAGTTACGCCACTCTGTTGTGTGTGGGGTTTGTCGTAGGGGCAGGCGTTCCAAAACGGCATCGTTCACAGTCGATGGACATGCAATGAATGTATGTCCCATGGTTCGGTCTGAACCAGGAGGCGTAAAAAAATGGCACAGGGCGTGAAAGGGGGCCGTGGGCGCCAAGGGCAACAGCTCTATTATAGGACGAATGGATGTGTACACCATGTGTATATATGCGTACAGAATCATGCTGCGGCGCAGAGGTTGTCACCGCCAAATCTAAACGATTGCGTTTTTTTTGTTCTTTTTAAAGCGAAGTGCTAGCCTGGCCAGTGTGTCGACCTTGTTTGTTTACTCGCCTTAAACACGTTATGTGACACACACCTTACACGTGTCATATGGCCCTCTACTTAAACATGTCATATGGCCCTCTACTTAAACGTTTCATATGGCACTCTCCTTACACATGTCATATGACACTCTCATTACACATGTCATGTGACAGGCTCCTTACACATGTCATGGGACACTCTTCTTACACCTGCCATATGAAACTCTCCTTATACATGTCATGTGACACTCTTCTTACACGTGTCATGTGACACTCTCATTACAAGTGTCATGTAACACTCTCCTTACACATGTCATGTGACACTCTTCTTACACCTGTCATATGAAACTCTCCTTACACATTTCATATGACACTCTCCTTAAACGTGTCATAAGGTACTCTCCTACCACATGTCATATTCCACGCCCCTTACACACGTCATATGCCACTCGCCTTACACAGGTCCTTTTCTTCCAATGGGGATGTCAACTGAACCCAGAAACACGTTTATCGGGCTGAACAAATACACCAAACACAAGTGTAGCGCAGGTCGCCATAAGTGGAAGAATACAGCACAACCCTCATCCGCAGAGTTATCTCACACTAACTGGCCAGACGAACAGCACGCGCACGAAATGCAGACGACAGATGCTACGTCACAGCTACGATAAAAAAATAAAAAAATTCACGTCACAATACGTCACACGCTTAATGGCGTCAAAAAAAAAACAAAAAAAATAAATAAATAAACACCTTCATTGAAGCGAAACAAGCGCACCAGACACACCGCGCTCAGCACAACCCAAAATAGAGCGGTGCGCAGCAATTACTAGTGAATGTCGTTACGCGACGGACAGAAGAAAAAAAAAAATCCGGTGTTTTTTACATTTGGTACTAAACATTAAATACAGTAAAGTGAACCAGTGCCAACCCCCGTTGGCTGGCTACTATGATTTATTTTGACTTTAAAGTACCCCCCCCCCCGAGCCCTGAACGCAACTGACTAGCCTTTTTTTTTTTAATAGATTGTCCCGACTTTGTANTCGTCAAGCCATCGAGCTGAAAATTGGCACACAGACTCGTTACCGATGACAACACATTATTTCAAATTTTCAGCCCTACTCCTAAACCTAAAAACAGAGATATCAGTCTTTTCTGGTTTTCAAGGAGAAGATAAAATAAAAATCCCGATTACTGCTCTTAATGCGATTCGGTTGTTTTTTATAATAACGCAAGTGCGTTTGGTGCGTTTGGTGCGTTTGGTGCGTTTGGTGCGTTTGGTGCGTTTGGTGCGTTTGGTGCGTTTGGTGCGTTTGGTGCGTAATAGTTTCTTTTTGTGTTGTTTTTTTCTGAAATCGTTGATGAAATCAATCTGCGGTGTATACGCGGGTGGCTGGGACATTGGGATATTCATATAAAATCATTTGTTAAAAAAAAAAAGGCGTATAAAGGATTTATTCGAATAACTTTGGGGTTTTTTTTTTAGAGGTTGTTTATGTTTAGGTTTGAACCTCCCCAAAATCATTTCTAATGACCATGGTTTATTTGAGGTTCTTTAGCTTCAAGCGCTTTCGCGCACTGTGAAATTCTGTCGTGTAATAATAATAAGTGGTCTTATATAGCGCGGTACCCCGGCCTAGGGCTGGGCTCACCGCGCTGTACATAAATATAGCAAAGAGGCATAATCATGATATTAAAATAAAAGACATAAATGAAATAAAAAAAACAACATATAAGCAA